CCCAGAAAAATGGACAGAATGGACTACAACTCGGAGTTTCTATCTGTGAGAAATTCCAACATTACCAAATCTCCTTTCATCCTGAACTAGAATAAAAATCTGAAATTTCCTGAGACATGACATGTCTAAAAAAACTCCTTTAGGAAATATTGAAACAGCCTTATGAAAGCTTTGTTTCAACAAGGCTGAATCATCTTGTTTTAATTTTCACAATTCAGCCTTACATAATATGTCATTACCTATTATAAGCTAAAATGAAGTACTTTGTCATTATTAAAAAGAAAATGTTGACAATACTGCATCTACAATTCTGACAAAATCAATACGTTTCTGTGAAACTTTTCAATGTTATAAAACTCCCTTTATGAAAAAGAAATCTGTTCTGTCTGAAAATTTTCAAGCAGCTTCAGTAATGAGTTAACTGTCCCTGACAGACTTTTAAATAACATACCCCCCATTCTACAGGTGGGAAAACTGAGGCATAGAGGGGTTAATGTCCCACAAATATAACATAGAACCAACAGCAGCGCTGCAAGTAGATCCCATGTCACCCACTAAACCTAATGGTTGTCCTCTAACCATTAGGGATAATTCTGTTCCACTGAGAATGCAGTCACCATGGATGCCTTGTGTCATCTCTCAAGCATGATATAGCATAATATAGTGCAGACACAACCACATACGCATGCAAAAGGAAAAGAGAAGTGCTGTTCAGTCATCTTGGTGGCAATTTCTTGTGATGTAGAAAAACATTTAAGTCTTTTTCTGTAACGTTTCCTGGCACTGAGCTGATTATAAATAGCTCTGGTTTTTCCACCTGCAGGATTAGCAGGCTGTTCCCTGAGGCAGAAGGCTGATAAAGTAATTCAACTTGGTATTTTTCAATGAGAAACACAGTCCTGATGCATCATGTGCAGTGGGAAGAATGAGGAGATGGTCTAATATTAATCTCATTTCCCCCCAAACCTAGAATATGATTCCACAGAAGAGAATTACTAGAATGCCAGAGCATATCAGACAGGAACATGAGGCGTAGTGACACAAAATAAATGTTTAGAGCCTGACGGGCTATTGCTCTGCATAGTCATTTATGGCTGTGCAGTTTTAAAACTCTTTCAGCCTGATTCTCATTTATACTGTTCACTTTACACCGCTCTGGTTCTGCAAGGGAGTGTAAACACAATTTGTTTTCAACATGAAGCTTCTTTACATAGCCAGAAGTGAAACTAAGCTCCTGCAAAGACAATGACACTGGCTGTAATGGAGGCTGACTGTGGCCCCAAAAGTATTATAGGCAGATGGAGGAAAATACCCTAACATTCTAGGTCAGGGCTGCCCAAGTTCTAATGATGTAACGTTGCCTTGGTATAAATGAGGAAAAGCACTTTCTATTCGCTTCCTTCAGATAGAAATGAAACCACAAGCACAAGGTGCCAGAGGATCTGGCTGTTTTGATTATAATATTCGCACAAATGAATAAACAAGCTGCTGCGTTCACACTGTATCTTGCCATTTGATGCGTTATGTCCTAATGTCAGTCCTTTAAGAGCCATCTTACTACGCTATCAAATTAGTTTAAGTACTCATTTATATTAAAATTGGACCTAGGAGCCCTAGTCACATCTAGGTCTAAGATTCCACTGTGCCAGGTGCAGTACAAATACAGCAAAGAGTTCATTCCTGCCCCAAAGAGCTGACACTTTAAGGCAATAGATGGATACAGAAAGGTTGGGGAATGCAACCAAACAATAAGACGACAGGTTTGATTATGCTGCTACCTATACCCACACTCGAGACTACCCACTAACACAAACTATCTGGCCATCAATATTAAAAAATCCTTAGCCTCCCAATCAGCTTCCAAAAGCTCTGCTGAATTTCAGAGCCCAAGGATGGGCCTTGAATTGGCCTACGCAACCCTGGTATATGTTCAGAACTAACCCAGATATGCCAGCCACAAGTACAGGAAATCTGCAGGCCACAATAGCACAACTTTCTGCACCTACTACTGGCTCTTCTGTATCTCCTGATAACGAAAGTTTAAAGGATATAGTTGAAGGAAGATATCAAGTTAGTTTTGCATATATTTATGAGGGACATCTCCTAACTATGGGCAGCATGGGAGAAAACACAAGCGTGTTTGAAAACATAGCAGGAGGCCAATGGAGATTGGCACCAGGGATGGATCCACTCAGTACTGGATGAGAGCATAACCAGTGGAGGGATGCACAAAGAGAGGTGATATGAGGAAAGCTGTGGGCTAGGAAATTATTTTTGCAGCAACATTGTGAATGAATATAAAGAGGGCAAGACTGTGCTTCTCAAAGCCAGATATAAGGATGAGGCTGCACAAGAAGTTAAACACCAGGTCTCTAAGACATCAGCAGAGAGGTGCTTGTAATAAAGATGGAATTAGTGTTTGTGGAAGAGGCGTACAACAGGAAGAGATGGAGACCAAGCACAAAGCCCCCTTAGAACGTGCTAGTGGCAATGAGGAGGATCCTTCAAAGGAGCATTTAAAGGGTTGAAAAAGAACTAGGATAGCACAGATTCATGGAAACCAGAGGAGGACAAGATTTCAAGAGCATCGCCAATGGTGTCAAGAGTAGGCTGAAAGATCAAAGGAGAAAGAAGGCAGAATATGGGTTCAGGGCTTTGGCAAAGAAGAGGTTGCTAGAAATGTTGGCAGAAGAGGTTTCAGGGGAAAGCAAGGAGCAGAAGCTGGATTATAGTCTAGGGCTTCAAAAAGATGTCACCGTTGTGCCAGCATCCCATTTTTTATGGCAGCACAAAGTGAAAGCAAACAGATATCTGTGCCCTTTGTCTCACTACAAATGCCCAATTTTGTGGCCAAGACAAAAGGTGATAGTAATTTGTGCTGCCCTTTTGCAGCAGATATGTGTTGTAAGATGAGAGAGCCTTGCAGCCGAGAGCTGCCTGTGCTCTCCAGCCACCCCAAGCAAAGTGTTTCAGGGCTTCAGGAACCTGATCCTGCATAGCCCAGGAATTGCCCTACAGAGGAATTCCCAGAGTATGCAGAATTGAGCCCCTGAAGCCCCGGGAGTGGCTGCCCAGGGTTCCCCACTTGCAGAGGTGCTGGGGGACTCCAACTTCGGGTATGCCCCTGCAAGCAGGGAAACACGGAATTTCCCCATTTGTAAAGGCGTGCTCTGAGTGTTGTCCTGCAGGATCGGGCCACTGCTGCCCCCAGAAGTGGCAGAGGCCCACCCCTGTGGGACAACAGGCGGCATCTGTTTCACCCGATGAAGCAGATCAGCTGTGCTGAGACATATCCCAGCACAGCTGATCCACTTCATTTGGCAAGGTCTGTTTATAGCCTAGATTGGACTTGAAGGAGAACCCTGGGCAATGGCTGTAAACAGCATATTGCTACTGATTTCAATGGGAGCAAGTCAAAGGCATACCTGTGCAGTTGCGATTAAAGTGCTAGGTCCATATTCTTAGTGATACTGAGTCCTTTAAGTCAACAGCAAGTTCAGACGCTCAGCCCCTCGGGATTTGCTAATCCATCACCTAATGATTTATGTTACCATCCCATTCCCATAGGAGAGGGTTGTTAGGTACCCACTGGAATGATGTCACAGACTTCCTTTTCCAAGATCATTGCCACAAAAAACAGAAACGTATGAGGGAAGAAATATGAACTAAAGTTTATTTAAACTGTCTCGGCTTTGTGGCTCATGACCAGAGCAGACACACTGCCAAATATGGGACATGTGACATGGCTGCATCGCAATAGTGTTGCCTGTGTGCAGTCAAGTGTCTGCCTGTGGTTGTAAGGGAGTGTGAAAATGAGCAGTT